GGATTTTAGCATTTTTATGGGTTTTATCAAATTTTCAAATATATATATTTTTGTAAAAACAAAACTGAATTACATATCGGATCACTGGGTTAACCAATTTAACGGTAGATACGGGTCAAATTTAAAAACAGTGATTTTAATAGATAACATTCTTACAAAATAACAAACAATTTGTGATTTTTGGTGAAACTTTTTTATCGTCGAACATTCTGCGCTTTTAAAACGCATGTCAAAAAAGAAAGTCAAAAAGGAAAGAGTTAGATTGTACTGAGTAAAATACATGAACAATTTTCTCAAATATAAAGCTCGATCTAATGTTACACATCTTAAAATATATTGTCCGTAAACTAGACAACCTCACATAGTCCTTACTTTGATAAGTAAACTTAACATGAAAAAAACCCTACTTTTTTTTCTTATTCAAACTCAAACTTAAATCCCAAATCAATGTCCTTTTTTGAGGTACCATTCTGTTTCAACAATATTTACAAAACAATGTCATTGGCTTAATTTAACACCTATGTTTTTTATTTTAAGTTGTATTCCATGTTTTTTTTCCTTTTAATACAACATCAAAATATTTCTTTTAAAAAATCTTCCCCTTTTTGCTGTAACTAAACATTTATAACCGATCATATTATGTATGCAATCAAAACAGTACATTAAGGGTCCGATTGGAAATGGCTATAGCTTTAATTTTTTTGCTATAGAAAAAAATCTGTAGATTTTTTGCTGGGTTTTAAATTTTATTTCTCTAAAATTTTATGGAAAGCTTTCAAAAATTGATGTGGATATTTGGCTCTGCAGAGCACTTATACGGCTGTAGGTTATTTCTAGAGCTATGATTTATTTATTTTTATTAAAGCTTGATTGCTATCAATTTAGTGATTTAGAAATAAATAAGGCTGTAGAGAGCACCTACAGCAACTACCAATCACCCCCTAAATTAAAACCATCGATGGTAAAGCTCTATTCATTGTTATTCAAAACTTTATATTGAATTAAAACCATCGATGTCTTTGAAAAACAGTGTATTCAAGAAACTACCCGTCCATTTAATACATCAAGCTTCAACATTTGAACTAGACATTCTTTGATAGTTAAATATACATTCAGTTCATAGTGAATTGCCAGTTCATCGATAGTTAAGCTAGGCATAAATTATTGCCAATTCATCAATGGTAAAGCTCTATTCAAAAAAATGTATTGTATTTAGCTTAAGTTGACATACTAGACCATCACTGATGTGATAAAAAAATAAAGTTGTAACCCCTAACCCCCAAATGCAAGTATTTATAATTTATTGAATAATTAATTAAAATTAACCCAGCAACCTAATTTTGGATAATCACTAAACAAAAAAAATTATCTTCTATATTTTCAAGGCTGATATTTAGGCAAATATTCTATATGTTCTGAAGTTCCATAAATTTAAGCAAAAAACAAAAATTCGCTATTTTTATATTTACCAATAATCTAAATCATAAATACTCAGACAATCCTATTGCCACATATCTTCTGCAATATCAATAACATAAAGTCAATTAAAAAACTAAATAGCTTAATAACGAGATCTTCTCCAACTATATTAAATTCGAATATTCTAAAAACTTGGCCTATTGTTTCTTATAANAATTAAAAAACTAAATAGCTTAATAACGAGATCTTCTCCAACTATATTAAATTCGAATATTCTAAAAACTTGGCCTATTGTTTCTTATAAATACAAGCGCCTACAATACTCAAAGCAAACACGATCGTTTCTTATATTTTCAGAGAAATTGTCTTTCAAACAGAAGATATCATACCCTGATAAGGTTAACCCTTGGAAACCGACACCTGGAATCAATTCAACACACAGTTTGGTGAGACAAAAGGTTAAGATGCTTCATAAACTAAATAGCTTAATATTTTACAGTTGGTAGCTTATCAAATCGATCAATGACTTATATGTTTTCAATCTTTGTAAATCCTATAAAGTTTAATGATACCGAGGGGAACTTTATATCAATTGGACAGACTTCTAGATTCAACTACATGAGGTAAAGGAAGTAATCTGATTATGTATATATACCTTTATGATAATAAATAATGTTCAATCTGTAAATATGCAAGTCTTTCAAGTATTACTTACTTTTTGTTTTAGCTTCCATTTCGTCGAATGTAGTAGACATCATTGCATATTAGTTCCTGTACAGGTAATAGAAGACATCATTAATAATGTGCACCTATAAATCTATATGTAATACTAAGTTACTATAATCTAGAATATAATAGAAATTTATTATACAAACCAAAATAAATAAGACCAATAAGGATCAGACACAACCAACATCATTATCATCATAATAATTAGAACATAGTGTAAATTTTAATAACAAATCTATTTAGTTATATAGAGAAGGAATAACAAAGTCCAAAATTCATAATTATTTTTGTTTATTGATTTCCATTATCATTTAAGTATATTTGTATTATATTCATTTTAATCTTATTTAATAAACATAATTGTGAAAGATAAAATTTAAATATTTTAATACCAATAAAAATATGTATTAAAAATTAACATGGTTAAATAAGTAAATTTATAAATAAGATTCATAATTTCAATTGCCCATACCGTATATATATATTCAACGTTGAGCTAAAATACATCAATATATTAATTTCTCTGTTAGTGATGTAAAATATCAAAAAGTTTAACTGTATTTAAATTGATGTTCTAACCAAAATACATCTTCCACATTAAATTGAGATATAATGTAATTAAAATCATATCTTGATCGGAAAATATAATGTAATAGAATTAATCTTACAACTACTGAACTTTCCGCACATCGAATATAATGTAATTACTTAATATTTAATTAAACAAGTTTTCTGCGTTTCCAAATCCGGGTCAAAATAAAAATATTAACGTCAATATATCTGAACCCGGATACTCATGCCTATATATATATTTGCAAATGCATAAATTTAAAGCAAAACGGTTGTCCCGCCCTCTTTAAAGGCGGGTCAAAATCTAGTTTACTATTAAAACATTACTATCAAAATCCAACTCAACCAATATTACACTATATTTTTATGTCCGCCGAGGGTATGGACTAGCCACCTAGTATGTATTTATATTTATATTATACTTTTTTATAATGTCATATATGATAATCAATTGTTTCAATAAAAAATTTATGTTAATTCATTTAAATTTAAGATTGCTTGATTGTTTATTTGGTAACATAGATTAGATTAGGTAATTATATGATTAGTTTCGTTTTAAAAACTTGATATAAATAAAGGAAAATTCAAATACCAACATTCAATTAAATTAATTTTTTTTTAAAAAAATTTTTGTACCTATGAGTGACATCTCAGCATAAATATATAGATGATAGGGTAAATCTTTAAAGTATACTAAACACTAGTCAATTTTCGTATGTGGAGCTTCAGTTAATGTTTTTTGGATTATTTAACTGTGTTGGCTATTTGTTTTTTCGGTTCCAACAATATAAGAAGAAAATAACAAAATAGCCATTATTATTCATAATGAAGATTCGCTAAATGGCATTGGTTACTAGAATCACAGTCATTAATCATAAAACTACTGCTCAACGACATTGTTACAAGCTCCCGGAGCAACCAATGCTTTGAAACGACTACGTCTTAGCCTCCAAGTCATACCCGACGAGAAAATCAGTCTGAACCAAATTACCGTAGACAGCAACATCAGTTGTCGGAATCATACTCAAGCACACAATCTCTTCGTTTATTTTCACGAATGCGTTTGGCGTACTCAGTTTCACGTTAGCCCCCGTGAAATGCATTGTTATGTCCGGCAAACCTATCTTTTTATCTCCGGCTTTGAAACAGTGCTTTAGAAACCCCTGTGGATCACTCGCACGCTTAGCTTCGGTCACCGATGCCTCCACCGCCGAACCAAAATCATCGTAGAATCCAGATTCTAGAAGCGTAAAGGTAGTTCCGGAGTCGATTATGATGTTCCCGGTGGTGTTCTCGTTTAAACTGTATCCTCCTCCTCCTCCGCCTCCGGTGTACGGAATCTTGGTCTTTCCGACGGTGATTGCTTCCAGATTCAAGTAGTAGTAAGTATTTGGAGTTTTAGGGATTAAAGGTGTAGTGAGCACAGGAGAACCCTTGCTTAAATTGGAAGGTATCGAGTTGGCTCCTAGGTTTATGACGCTTGTTGGGGATGACGTGTGTGACAAGCAATACGAGAATTTTTTCCCTATTGAAGAGCCTAACTGGGAGATTAAAGATAATGGTCCACCTCCAAGACCAATGATTCCTGACCCGGTTTCATCGAACGTGCCGCCATTGTTGTAACCGCAACCGAAGACTGTACCGGGGAAAGAAAGAGGGGAGCCGGAGGAAGAATCGATATGAATTGTTTCGGTTGCAACGTCTCCTTGAGTAAACGATTGGTCTCCGTAAGTGTAACGGTACTTGCAGATGTTTCGTGATTGGTCGCATCCTTGGTCTGTTTTGGACAAAGCGTTGCAGGAGTTGGAGTCGCACGGTTCAGCTTTATAGGAGGAAGAGTGCGTTTTGTCGAAGATTGGACTGGTTTGTTTGTAACAAAGCTCACATGGTTTGCATTGGACCCAAGATAGGTCACTTCCAGTGTCAGCGATGGCTAGGACTTTCGAAGGTGGAGTACCGATTGAGATGTTCATGAAATATTCACCGCCGCTAGCGATTAAACCGGATTGGAGATCGGTTTTGGTTGAGAAACGGCGAGAACGGGAGATTGAACGGTGGAAAGCGGCCTTGAGACGGTCAGACACGGTGTGGAGAGGGTTGTAGTGGGGAGAATGGGGAGAGTCACGGTGGATCAGCTGGAGGGTTAGTTTTTGTGAGCGAGCTGAAGAAGAGGAGACAAAGAAGGTGATAATAGCTAAGAGAGAGCAGTAGAGGAACGTTTGGGTTAACATTTTCGATGATCTTTTGGGTGTAGTGAGTGAAAATTTGCATGGGTTTATAAACGGCACAAAAGGGAATACGAAAAAAGATTGTAACGTCAAGTCAAGCAGTTAAGAAGGTGACTATTGGAGGTGGAGGTGTGTGTGTGTGTTGATTTACAGCTAATAAATAATCAGATATGACTTTTGATATTTCTTTTACTACGTCATAATAAATAGATGATTATTTTAAAAGAGAAATATCTTAAGATAAAGTAAAAAAAAAAAGTAACTACTACAAAATAGTTTCCAATTGTTTAAGTGAATAAAATAGATTTCATTAAAAAGATAAATAACAATTATATCCCTATTATATAGATATATTAAAATTAAATAATTTAAATATATTATTTTTGAGGAAAATCGAAATACTATTTTTGAAATTTATTTTACAAATTTCCTTTTTTAATTTTTTAAGGCCTATTTTCTTAAAAAGGTTTACGGAAAACTTTATTGAATGTATATGATATTTTTATGAATTTGAATTTTGAAAACCTTCCTAAATATAGTTGTAAGATATTTTTTCTAAATTTAAATTTGGAAGACCTTCCTCATAAGCATAATATTTTTTTTCTAAAATTTAGGAAGTTATTGATAGATATGGATAATATATCTTCACAAAATTTAAGAAAACTTTCACAAATTTGTATTTAAAATATAATTCTTAAATGTGTATTTGGAAATATTATCATGAATATACATTTATGAATACTTTACTGAATTTAAATTATATGCATATTTAGTAAGGCATTCTTAATTAAATATGTATCACTGTCCTTTAAAAATTTCTGGAAGATCTTCATGTATTTCATATCTAAAATTTAATAAAGATATATTATACATATCATGAAGCATCTTCATAAATTTTTAGAGATAATAGGGGTGATTGGTTATGGCTATAGATGTTTTAGAAAGCTAAACTTTAGTCTAAAGGCATATATATCAACCAATCAAACTTCTATTTATTTAAAAAATCTATAACCAAAAATCTCTAAAAAAATTAAAAAGTAGCTGTAGAAAATTCTATTTCTAGAAAAAAATAGTGCTTCAATAAACTACAGCAAAATAATTTACGGCAAATAAACCTACACTTTAAATTATAAAGCTAAAAGCATACAGCTATAGCTGATTCCAATCACGATACATATTGATTAATAGTTTCTTACATATAAAAAAGTATCACACATATTAAGAGAGTTTTTTTTTTAATTTTAAGAAAAGTTGTTTTGTGAAAATAAAAATTGAAAAGATTTAAAAATATTCAATTTTTTGGAAAAATGAGTTAGAAAAAATTGACTTTTATTTTATCATCTTCAAGTTATTTAATATTTATTTATTTTATTTATATTTAACAATTAATTAATTAAAATATAAACGATGATATAATTATTATTTACATTTTTAATAAAATTACATTGGTCATTTTAAGTTTTGGGTGCTATTTGGAAAACAAAAACTAGAAAGTGATTATAATATTTGCCAGTTTTGAAACTACTTTTTAATGATTTTGAGACTGTTTTTGGCGCTATATATTTATCATGCAATCCAACAATTCAACATGTTTAATATATCAACAGTTACTTTGGACTTTTATCTATTAAATTTTATTTTATTTATATGAAATATATATATATATAATATTATATTAAAGCTTACAGATACAATTTGATTTTGTTTATATAAAAAATTCACAAATATCTTGGTCTAATTTATTTTTTATTATTTTATTTTAATAGTGTTATCTTTCATTTGTTATTTTGAATTAAAATATCTTTTAATATTAATTAACCATATTTTTATGTATTTATCAACCATGTTTATGTATTTAGACATATACATACATATTCACATTGACCTGATCATTTATATAACTAAATATTCACCATAAGTGAAGTATTTAATTCTCTTGGAAATTGAAATATTTTTTTAATTCTTTTTCACTTTCGATCAAATTGTAATGAAATATTTTGTTTTAATAACTGTTTTTTCTTCAACTATTTTCCGTTTAGAAACTATAATGTAAAACCATTGGTTCAACATCGAGACTATCTAAAATTCATATAACATAAAACCAAACAAATAATAATAGTTTTTGTTTATTAGGAAAACTATAACATCAAACAGTACAACTGAACAAACCAGCTAATTAATGATTTAGAATGATAGTTATTACCTAGTATGCAAAAAAAAATTGACGTGAATTATATGTTGTATTATTCTAGTTGAACAAAAGCTTCGTCGGACGTTCGTTCCCGTTTCCGAATCGAAATCGAAATTGAGCCTTGTGAAATTTTACGTAATCTCGCTTCTAAAACGTTTCAAAATATCATATTTAAAAACATGTTGGAAGATTATGCTTTCATTTTGGAATCACACTTCCATTTTTTTTTAAAAAAACACACAATATTATAAATCAATAGAAATAGAAAATCATGTTAATATGTTTTTATATAAAATCTAAAATTTTAAAGTATTAACATAGAGATAGAGAGAATAGAAATGTCAAATATTAAAACTAATATTATAAATTATCTTTATCCACAAGTTTTTTGCTTATTAAAGATAATACTATTCAAATATTTTGTTAGTTATTTATGAAATGTTAAATAATTAATTGGATAATAAATTTTATAAACTTTCTTTATTTACATTTTCAATATTATAATATGAAATTATTTAAAACTAGTAGAATTGAATAAATACTTTATTTTAATTTTGAACTATATAGTTTTGGTCATATATTTTATATTATATATATATATATATATATATATATATATATATATATATACACGTCTCCGTTTCGTAATTTTTCAAAAAATATTATTTTTACACTTCCATGCGAAAGCTTCCTTTTCCATATAACATATGTTATATGTATTAGCTAGGTATAATAAGTTGTTTAAGATATGATTAAATCACATTGGATTAACTGGAAACAATACAACTCGAATTTTACTAACATGAGAACAGTGTTTGGAAAACAAAAAGTTAAAATATAATATTAGATAAATTATAACTTAATTTATAGTCCTGGTAATTTCTTTTGTCTAGAGAACCAAAACGCTGAGGAGGAGGCGCCAAGCTAATAATTGCACAAGCCGAGTCACTTAATCATCAAAATCAAATCTTGCTGATGCCTTTTTAGTCATCTTGATGATCTCAGCTGCTTCTTTCCGCATCTTCTGCTGTTCTTTGAGTGCTTTTTTCAGCATCTTCCGTTGATCCTCCACTGAGTATGCATTTAAATCAGACAAAAACTCGTCGAAATCAACGTCTCTCTCGCGACCAGATGCAGTAAATGATTTGATGCTTTTGATGTTCTTCTTCTTGGTGGATGATGACTTGTTCGGAGAAGACCATATGTATCCGATGATCTTTGCTGGAGATAACTTCTTAATCCATGAGGAGCTTGAAGACTTTGACTTAGATTTCTTTTCTGGTTCTGAATCGGACGACGACGGTGGTGTGGCTAAATCAAATGATCCTTTCTGTTTTGGAAGCAGCTTCTGGGTTCGTTTACTGGAATCAGAGAAATCTCCACTTCCATCTCGGGAGCTTTTCTCAAGAACTAGATCTCGCTTGTTTCCCGAGAAAGTACTCGAATCCTCATCAAAGCCGGATGATTGTTTACCTGGGTTTCCTGAGAAATCTCCATCCTTTTGGTAAAACGCCACGCTCTTGGAGTGCGTGAGATCCTTCTTACTAATCTTAGACGAAACCGGGTCGGGTCGAGCGGCAGGAAGAGATTTGAGGCGGCGGAAACGAGATTCGAGATCATCGGGAAGAGTAGAAGAGTCAGTGAAGCCAGAACAGTTGATGGCTGCTATTTGCTCCAAAGCCGAAAGCTCCTTCGCTTGCGATATCAGCTCTTCTACTGCTGATTCGTCTGTATCCGATAGATACCCAAAATCCCCCATTCTCAGATGATGAAAAATGAGTGTTTTTTTCTTTACAGTTTTTGGCTTTTTAGAGAGAGAGAGAATGATGAAAGTCTCCACAACGGCTAATTCATGATTTTGTCAGTTACTGTGCGCGTCAATTTCGATGACACTCTCATCTTTTTTGTGTGGGACCCTTCAGATGCGTGTTGTTTATTTACTTTATTAGTAGAAGATATTTTTAATTTAAGTTAGAACAAAAGGAACTTGTGTGTTAATCTTAAAAAAAAAAAAATTAAAAGTTGTGGTCTCTTGTGTTACAATTGAATTTACATTGAATCAACATCCTTGTACGACGATGTCGTCACCGAAACCCGTTCTTGTTCAAGCCGGTGATAAACCGGTTTGGTCCTCAAGTACAACAAAAGGCTTGAAGCGAGGCCAAGAAGAGACAAGCAACCCCAAAACGCGAACGTTTTGTGGTAGCAATCTCTTCCAATGCAAACGACCGAGTCTGACACGACCGTTCTTATCTCCAGGTTTGCGTTGGCTTCATAGATGGATGCAGCGATGAAACCATATAAGAGCGAGCCGATTGGTATGTTTGTAATGAGAATGTTGTGGTTAACACCTACGCTATTTGGTCCAAAGAGCTCAGATGTTATGGACACTGCAGCTGCAAATATGAAACCGGAGCTCAGACCGATTAAGGCGGTTGCGGTCTGCAATGTTGTTTGATGTAAGGATGATATCGCTAGTAAAAAGAAAGCGATGGGAGTTGGCAAGAGCGCGAACGTAAACCAGCCGGTTCTTGTCAAATGAAATCTCCTGCAAGATGCAAATTTTGATTCAAATTTCACATTAGACAGTGATTTAATCTCAGAATGTAAAACTTACTTGTGCATAAAATCTGGTGCGGCAGATAGCAACCGACCAAAGAAGGAGAATGAAGAGTAGATGGTGACAAGAGTTGTAGAGCTTTTCCCCAAAGTCTGAGCAATCTGACCCAAATTATTGCTATAAACAAGACCAATCGTGCCACCACAGAAGTAGGCAATGTAGTATAACCAAAACTCAAATCTAGTTATGAGCAATTGAAACGAGTGTTCATCACCGAGCCTCACTATGTTGTTCCCTTCCTTGGCATTCTGACCCGTAACAGATGCTTTCTGAATCTTGAGCTCATCTATGTTAAGCATAACATAGCCAGAGGTAGAGGTGTCATTGTGTAAACGATGGTTAATGTCAGGAAAATAGTAATCCCGAGCATAAACGAGGAGAGGAGCACAGAGGGGGAAGACGAGTAAGAAGATAGCTCCGGCCAAATGAAAACGAGCTGATGCAGTCACATTAGTACTGGAACTAGATAACAGAAGGTGGAAACTCGTCACGACAGCTACGGCATTCATTATGGCAAACACATGGGAGTCATGTCGGCGTGATTCGCTACGGTCTGGTGCAGGGTCTAGAGATGGTTTAATAAGAAGAGGGTAAAGTGCAGCTAAGGAGACACCAAGAGGAAGCAGAGAGTTGAGCAGAAGGTACATATTTGAGGAAGTCGGGTTAATAGCATTGAAAGCGAGCGAGTATAAGGCTGCACTGATTCCATTGAAGCTGACCGTTAAAGACAAAGCGAGTGCACGATTGGTGGGGAAATGACGGATACAGAGGATGAAACAAGCAGTGTTGAACCAACATATACTCAATCCAGCCAACAAGCAGCACAGAAACACCTAATACAAAGAAGAAAGTAAGGATTTCTTGATTCTTTGATATCAATGTTTCAACAAGGAACGTACCAGAGAATAAGGAAGAGTGATGACGTTGGTGATGACTAACCACTGAACACCATAACCAACAAACCCCATAGCCGCGGCGGCGTAAAGAACGACGGAGAGAGGGCAATAACCTAAAGCGATCCCCGAGGACCACCCGAACGCTTTCCCCAAATCAGAAGCCACCGCGAGGTAATTCAGCCTCACCTGAGAGATTCCGAGTACTGATTTGAGATGAGAAGAGTAGGCTGAGAAATCGAAGTTGGTTCCCGTCGACGCCTGGATCCAGATCGCCGCCACCAGGACCGTCCATTTCCGCCATCGGCCGAGCATTGTGCGGAGGGGCGGAGGGTGTTTGCGGTGAAACTTTGGTTCACCGTCGAGGAAGGAGGGTCGGGTAGGGCGGGGTTTGTCAGAGGCATCTCGGATACGAGGTCTCATATACAAAGAAAGATGATGTGATGGTGGAACGGTAAGGTGATGTTGACCGGTGATGGAAGGGAGGGACAAAGCGTATGTAGTTGTTGATCTAACGCTTTTGATCGCTTTGAAGAGAGGGCTTTTGGGGTTTTTCTGAATGCCAAAAAAAAACAAATTCTTGTGATTTTGACACCTACTTCAGTAAATCAATGTTTTTAATTCTTTTTTTTATATCAACTTATTTCTTTACTTTAAACGTGAAAATACATAATCTTTTTGGAATGTTACCCAAAAAAAAACATAATCTTCTTGGAGAAGATTTGATATGTTGTTTGGTACGTAGTAATGAAATTGGAGGAATGTTGAAAACAATTTCAAGTTGTTAATTGAGTTGTTTACATTGTAAGACACTTTGTTGAGTTTTTTTAGAGCATCCGCAACCATAGATCCTTAAGGGCAATCTTTAGGAAAAAAAAAAATGGATATTTCAGATTATATAAGGATATTTCAGATTTTTTCTTTATTAAAAGCAAATTGACCAATCGCGGACCGCCACGTGGGCAGTGGAGCCCACAAATAGTATAAGGATCAATCCTTACATAAGGATTTTATCCTTAAAATCCTTAACTGTTCATGAGATCCATTGATTATAAAATTAATATTTCCCTAAGGATTCCCCCTAAGAATCTATGGTTGCGGATGCTCTTACTACAAAAGACACTTTTTGATTAAAGAGCACAATTACATTTTTCAAGAGAGATATTGGACAATTTTGTCCTTGATAGTGTTCGATGGTAAAGAGTAGATATTCAGAAATCAGTAAATTGTAAATATTTTAATTAATATTTTTTTAAAGTTATTATTTAGTCACATCTCCTAATGTTTTAATCTTGTTTATTTTTAATTTAAAAATATATATAAGAAATTCGTTGACATAATAAATTATGTTTTTTCATTCTCTTTAATTTGAGATCCACTTTGATATATATTTTTATTATACTTTTAAAAATTGATATATAAATATTATGGATTCGCAGACAGGGAAGTTGTGGATAGGAACATTTTGGATAGCCTTCCACAATTATATATCGATAAACGAAATTAGATTTATGGATTATATGCTTTGTGGACATATAATATGTGGATATATTGGAGCATTTTGGACAACCGTCCACAATTATATATCGATACACAAAACAAAACCAGATTTATAGATTATATGTTTTGTGGACAGATAATATGTAGATATATATTTCGTGGACAGATAAAAAAAAAAATTTGGACTAATGCATTGTGAACACATATATCACATATAAGTTTGGAAAATATTTCGTGGACAAATACAAATAATAATTTGAAGAAATCACTATCTTTCAGTAGATATAAAATGAAAATCATAAGTTTTTGTTTTAATATTTGAGAAGCATGTCACAAAACTAATCTATAGACGACCTATACACATAAAAATGTAAATTTCTTTTTTGAAAGAAAATACATACACGTATAAACTAGAATACTGTGAAAAAGAAGATAATTGAGAAACTTTGAATTTTGGGAAAGAAAAAAAGAAATAATCCATCTTTAGCTCTGGTCAAAGTGGTGGTCACACGTGACACCTTTCAGAATCCACCATTTCACATGCCCTTTTATTTGTACTTTTTTCAATTCATAAGTATTAATTTTATATATTCGTTGGAGAAAGAGAAACAAGAGTGGCTTACTTTGTATAGGCTATTTTAGTCTTTGAACAATGAAAAAGTGTGTGTCAAGTGAGAAGTGTCTTATTGTGATATTGTAAGGTCAAAAGGTGTCTATAGATGTAATTTTTTCTTGTTAATTTGTCTTCCACTCTATTAGTTCTTCTCCTTGTCCATTAAAATCGTATGCTTCCAAACTTTTGAGAAAGCGTAGTTACATGACTAATCTTGAGCGCTAAAATCTTTCCAAATCTTCATCAATAACGTTCTATGAATCTTCCCACATGTTAACGAGAGAACCATCTACAACAACAAATCTCAAACCTTTAATTATCAAATCCCGACTATGAAGAATTGACTTCCATCCATACAAATACGAAGCTTTCTTTTTTAAAATAGTTTTAAGGATATATATCACCATCTGAAAAGTACCTAGCTCGTAAGACTCTTGCCATTAAACAATTTGGGTTCTGTAAAATCTTACTTAGAAGAGCTTGATTGAAAATTTCCAAGTCTCTAAATCCCAACCCACTTTCTCTTTTAAGTACACTGATTTTTTTCTAGACATACAAATGCAAACCTTTTCTGTTTCCAGAACCCCACCAAAACTGAATTAGGATCCTTTTAATTTCTTCACAAATTTCTTTAGGTAGCCGAAAAATAAGTGTCACTGCCTTTAAAAGAATCTCTTTACCACCATGAGATAAGTGTTTATGTTTCCAAGTCTGAGCAACAACCTTAACTTTCTCCACAATATAAGCAAACATATCATTCCTCTTTGAACCAGTCTGCTTTGGCAGCCCTAAATGCTTACAAATACCGCCTTTATTATGGATCCCTAGAATGTTTCTCATCCTGGTTTTAACTCCTTGTAACACTTTGTTGCCATAAGTTATTGAAGATTCTCTGAGATTAATGGTATGTTCAGATACTGCTTCATACTTATCAAATATATCTTCAGCTTCCTTGTAACCTTAACATTTGCAAGTGAAAAGAATAAAGAATCATCTACGAGAAACAAATGATTCACCGAAGGAGCTTGATTTGAGATCTTCACTCCCAATAAAGATCTGTCTGACTTTGCTCTGTTCATCATGTGGGAAAGCACCTCAGCACATAGCATAAAGAGATAGGGTGACAGTGGGTCCCCCTGATGAATGTCCTTTTCTGGAGTGATAAATTCTGGTGCTCTATTAATCAAAACCGAATACTTCACACTAGTTATTGATATACATTATTATTTGACAAGTTTTAGACCATATGGACCCCATTTGGAGTCTATTATGTGTGTCTAAGCTATGCTTCAGAGTATCTAAAGGTCCATGTATGTTTTGAAGTTATGTGGAGTACATGGTGCATTTTGGATGAAGAAACCCGTAGTTGACAAGAATCAGCTAAGTCAGAGTTGATACACGAGATCGGCATCGATCGATGGTCGAAGCGCGCAAACCCGAATTTATTCAGAACTGGCTTTAAAGTCAAGTTTACACATATTTACAAGATTTTCCTTGACAAGTTTTAACCTAAGTTATAAAATTTTATGCCATTGTTAGGCAGAGAGACACGTTTTTGTTTTTCTAGAGTTTCATATTCTGTTAGAGGAGAAGATCAAGAATTCTTAATAGCTTTGTACTGGAACCCTAATTTTATTCTATGCATTCTATTCAGTCTTATTTGCTTGTCTGCTTGATAATGTCTGAGTAGTTTCATCTTGTTAGGGTTCTTAACGGTATTGATGGATTAGCCTAAAACTAGGATTGCTAGAAAAATTGATACCCATTATTAGTTATAAGTGTTCTTAATGCATGTGTTCTAGAGTAGCTAGCTAGATCATGAACTTAGGACACAGACAACTGCGAGAGTAGGTTCTGTGCATGAACTAATTCTAACTGAGCTAGGTTGTTGGATACATGTGGGAGCTGGTCGACCAATTTTTTGGATACATCAACTCACCATAACCGTCGATTGATATTGGTTCTCTACCATCGATCGATGGTAATTCTAAGTAGGCGGTTGAGTCCTAGTATATAAGCTTTGCTTTGCATCCTATAAAATATAATCCACGTGCTTAAACCCTAGATCTAGCTATTTTCCATATTTGCATCTACTTGAATCTAAAATATTTTCTTTTTATACTTAAACTGAAAACCTATATAATACTATCACCTATCTTTAGCATTAGGATCATGCAAATCTATTGTGTGCCTTCGCTCTCTGTGGATTCGATCTCTAAGTACTTCAGTCGATCTCTCTTGGCAAGAGTAGTGTAGTTGAGTTTCATAGGTTAATTTTATAACATAGATTAGGAATTTTTAAACCCTAAGGAGACGCAGCCCTTTCCATTAAACACGTCATTATCTATCGGATCCATTTATCATCAAACCCCATATATTCCATGGTTTTCCTCAAAAAAAACTCCACTGTAAGCGATCATAAGCTTTTTTTTTATATCAGTCTTCACCGCCATGTAGGACGTTGCATGACGCTTTCGTGCTTTTAAACTATGAAAAACTTCATGTGCAACCACGATATTATCATATATCATCCTTCCCGGAATGAAAGCATTTTGGTTTTCAGATATTAGCGAGTCCAAATGTTTCTTCAGTATGTTGACTAGTATATTTGATATAATTTGTAAGAAATATTGCAGAGAGAAATCGGTCGAAACTCCTTCATATTTAATGGAGGATATCCCTTCGGGATGAGACATAAATTAGTATGGTTGAGCTGAGGATCCAAAGAATCTAAAATCAGATATCTCTTTCATGACTTTAGGTTTCAAATCCTCCCATGGTTTTGATAAAAAAACAGCTGTGCATCCATCTGGTCCATGTGCTTTATGGAGTCCAATATCTAGCAATGCTTCCGGTATCTCTTCCTTAGTGATCATTATAGTCAGATCTTGATTCATCTCAGCTGTCACTCTAATCTGAAAACCAACAAAAACCGAGTTATATAGTTCTTGATCTGTCTCCTCTGAAGCATATAATTTCTAAAAATATTCTTCAGTCACATTTGCAATATCTTTTTTTTCCTTGATGGACCACTTCTTGGTCATCTTGAATAACACTTATATTAGTCCATATCCTTGCAGCCTTAGTTACAGCATGAAAATAGCTACTATTATGATTTCCAGCGTGCAACCACATAACCCCACTCTTCTGCTTCCAAAAAAATTCTTCCTCAAAGTAAGCTTGGTTTAAGTCTTCTTTGATTTCACTTCGTTCTCTTAAAGAAGATTCAGGATTGACCATAGCTTTATCAATTTTATGCTGCAATATACTTATTCTTTTCTCAGTGTTTTTACGATTGTGTTTTTTCCAT